CCGTAGCTAATGATAATGTTCGCACAGTCAATTGCCTATCCTTTTCCAGCGTCTTTCCGACTGATGTCACAAAGGCCGGACCATTCACGTCACCATTCTTCTCTCTGCCTCTCTCTTACTTGTCCGCAATCTTTCCATTACCCTTTTTAATCGTTTATGTCAATCAAACACTATGTTGCGGCTTACCGAAACTTTCCCCTTGATATGTACGTTTAAGACGGTTTCTCGCCTTATTTCTGACAAAATTGTCTTATTGATCGAATTTTGAGACGGTCTCATGGCATCAGTTTTAACGCGAGTTTTACATTTACAACAAGTGATATTTAAATATGACTGCAACGGCATATATGATTTAAATAGGGTCATTTTTTCTGACAACGTCATAGACATAGACATAGAATCTAAATGCGCTTTATTGTAAATAAATCATAAAGCACCTCTTATCAGCGCAAAATTACGCACTGCGCCGGGTATGCGTAACCATGGTTTTAAATTCGCTGTTTGCGTTATCAGATAAGATATTGTATCAGTTTATAGGTAATGCTTTACGATTTAACAATAAGTAATAAGTTGAAAATTCTGCAACTGCCAGCCACAGTCCGGTTTATTTTAATCATCCCTCGTAATACATCCCTCGAAATAACGAGAATATTAAAAGTCACAACCAGAAGTGTTTTCGAGATTTCATAAATTTACTATGTTCAATTTATATTAAAAAATATCTGAAGAAATACGTCTGAAGCTTGATTTATGATTTTGTGAGATGATATTTGAAAGTATGGTATACAAATAGTTCACCAAATTAATCATATTGTGTCAATTATTAACTGATTTTCATTTCCGTATTATATAATGGATACGAGTATTTGTTTGTTTGTGTGTAAGATGAAATTTTATTTCATCGAGTGGGTTTTAAAAACAGTATTCTCACGTGTGGCGTAGCCACGAGTGAGAATACTGTTTTTAAAGTTCACGAGATGAAATAAAATTACATCTTACACAACAAACAAACACATTTTCTTTTTATTTTATGCTTAAAAACAAGTTAAAAATAAATTGCCATAATATTAACGTTGATATTAAAATCTGTTTTCCCCATTGAGAGCCCCATGTAGTCGGAATTTCTCATTAAATACAAGAAGTCTTGAGCTGAAAAAATAAGTTCGACAATCAGCGTTAAATGACGGTGATATTATTCACTTTATTTAATAAAATTAATATGAATGATCGCTTGTTTTAATAATAAAAACAAACAATTCTTGTAGGAGATAAAGTCCTACATTTAAATTATTTATGATAGGAAACTTTAGAATGTACTATTATGCAAATTTTCAGTTATTTGTATAACCTTATAGTCAGTTCATTAATTTAAAATAGCATCTTATGTTTCTGCTGAGATGTTAAAAAAATACACTTTATATTTAGAATTATTCTCAATTTTAAATGAGATTATTGGGTGTAATTGCTTTATTTGTTTTGTAAAAGACAGAATGACCTTGCCATTATTAGTGAAACTAATACCGAAAACATAAAAAAGTTGACGACAAGAAACATGATCGGAGAGCTGTTACACCAGAAATAGCTACTTACCAGCAACCGACATTTTATGCTTTAATCTAAGGTCATACAATTGTGTCCCCATAAAAAATTGCAACGCAGTAATGTGAATTGACTTGAACAGCTGTAGAGCACCAAGGTGATATATTTATTTTCTTGTCACACAAAGCTCACGTAATATTTCGAGACCTGTATATTATCATGTTTGTAGGAGATAAAGTCCAACCATCCATCCATATTTCCATTACTTACTACGAATTTATATTAGAACTGGCTATGTACACGACAGCCATTTTTTAAAGTTGTGTATTTCACGGGAGGAAAATAATTGTGTTTGGTTCAGAGGGATATCATTTGGATTTGTTAGTCATACACCTTTTTAAAAGAAAGAAAACTTATTTGAGGATTGTAACAGACAAAAAATAAGTGTTGACAGATGTGAAATCATTCACAAAGCAGCAAGGAAAATGGAAAACTTCAAAGGCTGGCTCAGGAACGCTGGGTTGTTATTCTTATTCTACGGGCTATGGGTGTCATTGCTTTTCAAGTTTTCATTAAGCATATTGCAGTTATTGCTCGTAGGATACTTTAATATGCCCAAATGTCATCAAGAGCAGTTTTGCATGTGGAAGGAATATATTTTTCAGACTGTAAAAATGAAACAAAAAAATTTGGAGACGAAATTTGGTGATTGGAATTTGAATGAATAGAAGTAAATTTTCTTCTTTTTATTACTGTTGACATTTAAGTTATTTATCAATTTCAGCTTTGCTTTTCTTTAAACAGCCTGACATTGTCAGAATTGTCAGCAAAAAAAATTGAGGTACCACATGGGGAAGTTCTTAAAAAAGTAGTTTCGTCATTGAAAAGTGTGAAATTATATTTTGATAATTTTCACTGTGAAATTATCATATATAATTTTCACGGATAAATCAGTAATCCACTGAAAAGCTTGAAATAAAGGCTGATATACAGTTTACTGCTATTATTTATAAATCTTAAAAATGCTTATATTTTCATTAAACTTCATTTTTATATTGTTTTAATTGTAAATACTAATAATAAATAAAAGATATTCTTTTAACTTATCGGTATGGTAGTAGAAATACGTAATTGTAATGTTTCATTCGGTGAAAAGGAACTGTGTATGTACAATACGTTCGTGTATGTGTAGAATATTTGAATTGTTACCTTTTTATTTTTCAGCATGACACGTTACATATGAATAACAGTTATAAGTATGACATATATGATTGTTTATAACCCTAATGATTCAGAATGTGAGAACCAGGTTAAAATATTTTAAGATTCTTCCTGTTAATAATCATAAAAATATAACAATGACATGACTTTGGTGCCAACTAACCTTTGCATTTTAGAATTTTTTGTTAGTCTCATATTTAATTACTTGAACATGATCTCTGGAAACTAAACGAGTTCATCGCTTAAATGTTGTTGTTTTATGATTTTGTTTGTTTTCTTTGTTTTCACACATATTTAATAAAAATAGCATTCTTGGTCCCTTTACTTTAAAACTATAATTATGTTCATTTTTATATTTTCAAACAGGAACTTATTTTGCCATTTAATACATAACTGACCACGTGTATTCTTATTCGAATACAAAAAGATTTCAAGTAAATACGTTCACACATCAAAATACAAATAAGTAAGAAAATGTAAAATTCTAGCTGGTTTTACCAGGAAAGAAATCATTCTTTTGTTTTATGACTATATTATTGCTTTGCGTATGATAGGAAACTTTAGAATGTACTATTATGCAAATTTTCAGTTATTTGTATAACCTTATAGTCAGTTCATTAATTTAAAATAGCATCTTATGTTTCTGCTGAGATGTTAAAAAAATTCACTTTATATTTAGAATTATTCTCAATTTTAAATGAGGTTATTGGGTGTAATTGCTTTATTTGTTTTGTAAAAGACAGAATGACCTTGCCATTATTAGTGAAACTAATACCGAAAACATAAAAAAGTTGACGACAAGAAACATGATCGGAGAGCTGTTACACCAGAAATAGCTAATTACCAGCAACCGACATTTTATGCTTTAATCTAAGGTCATACAATTGTGTCCCCATAAAAAATTGCAACGCAGTAATGTGAATTGACTTGAACAGCTGTAGAGCACCAAGGTGATATATTTATTTTCTTGTCACACAAAGCTCACGTAATATTTCGAGACCTGTATATTATCATGTTTTATCATCTAGAGGTCTTGCGTGCGGAAACGTGTTTCATGTAGCAAGCCATACACTATTGAACATTCTATAAAATATGTAGCTCAAAATAGTTACTTTCAATTAATGACTTTTTTTCTAGATATTGTAATAGATACAGTAAAAAATACATTTATTCAACACACTCTCATCAGACAACCGGAAGGCAACATTATAACATGTAATACGTTAGATAAAGATAATTTTCTTCAGAAAAAAAATGCATAAATAGATTCATAATACATTACAGGTAAAATTGCTGGAATCGAGGCGTTTGTTGATAATGCTATTTTGCGAATATTATAAATTGGTTCTTAGTTTGGCTTTCAAAACCACATTATCCTATACCATCATGTCATAATATCTTTTTTATATTATTTTTAGCAATATCAAATATGCAATAATAAAACAAAATTGGCGTTCGCTATTTAGGACGAACGTCCGTACTTAAAATGTCAAGGTTTCTTGAGGTTGCAAAACTCTAAGTAACTTTGAACAAGCGAGGCTTGGATGCAGCTTTGTATGGTAATCGCGTTTCAAAATCGAGATCATTTTACTCTAGAAAGCAAATGACAGGCATAGAAATGTTAAAATAATGCACTGACAGTCTTTTACAGTATTTTAATTTTGGAAGCCACCTTTAATAAATGAGACACGCTTGTTATTAAATGAGACACGCTTGTCATAAAATTTTTAGAAAATTCTATGAAAGGATCAACTTTACATAAAACTGTAGAAAATGTCTTTAATATGATAATGTCAAGGTTTCTTGAGGTTGCAAAAGTCTTAGTACCTTTGAACCAGCGAAGCTTGGGTGCAGCTTTGTAGGGTAATCGCGTTTCAAAATCGAGATTTTTTTCTCTGGAAAGAAAATGACAGGCGTGGAAAAGTTGAAATAATGGAATAACAGTCTATTTAAGTATTATCATTTTGGAAGCAGCCTTTAATAAATGAGACACGCTTAATATTAAAAAAGAAAATAATTTCAAAGAGATTAAGCATGATTATATGGAACGAAAACATACTTTTTGAAAAGACATATTTTCAGCGCAAAAACAATTAGAACAAGTTTTTGTTTGTTTCTTTGCTTTCTTTTTTTTCTATCGACTTCTATCAAAACAGCGTGATTTTATACATTTTATTCAAGTGCTGGATACTACCAAAAAGGTGCCATTGGATTTGCCTGCTGATCACTGGCATTATACATTCTTCCAAATAAGCGATCGTGAGCTATTCGGAGTTATCTTCGCTTACCGGAAGTGACGTAGATTGAGGACTTGATACCAAAACTAATTCAAAACAGAAAAACGTTAAATTATTCAATTTTAAACAAGGTAACATTATTTTTTTCTTACATTTTAAAAACTTTATCATTGATTTAACTTCAAACAACCCAGTAACGGTGTTTTTGTCGTTTTTGCAAGGATTCGTAGGCGAAAATAACAGTTTTCTTTTTTAGTGACCCTCGTTTCGGATACGCAATAAATTCGGATAAAAATCTTTACGAGTATTACGTACAATTGCTGTGTGTATTCTTTTAATTACAACTTAATACATCATTAACAATGTTCATTCAATGTACTGTCTTGTTTAATTCCGACAGATCTGTTGTTTTTTATATTTGCTTAGCGGGTTGTTTTACCACAGCTAATTAAAAAAAAAAACAATACAAATGATAAGAAACCTATCAGTAATTTACTTAAGAAAAATGTTGCATTTGCTAAATGAATCCAACATGATATGCATGATGAGCTTAAAAAATATTTAAGAGTAAAAATACTTTTTTTTCTATATTACAGCTGATATCAGGATGTGAAAGCTTTCTGTGTATTTTAACTTTGTATTGCCAAACGTCAATACTGACTACATAAATATTCATGACAATGGCCAGTGTCCTGGCAGATGTGGATACAAACAGAGTCCTACAAAAATGTAGTTGTTCAAAGGTATGATACCTCAAACTTTAAAATGATTTCCAGATAAATGAATTGACAAATCATCATCAGAGCTGCATCAGTACTAACGGTACTTATACCATAAGTACCAGTACCAGTACTTGGCAATTTATGCAGTACCATTACCAGTACTAGATTTTAGCTCGGTACAGCAGTACCAGTACTTTTTTTGGTGAAGTAATTAAGTATCAGAACCATTACTTTTATATGTTCATCAAAGTTGGAATAAATACACAGTGTCAAACGTTACAAATTATTGCAAATATTATTCAACAAAGAAATAAAATCATAATTTCCATTAATATCAAAAATCATAACATTTTTACAACTTTATAGTTTTAACATACTTTTTTACCAACACTATTTACAACATATATTTATGTCATCTTATTGTTTAGTAAACAGTCAACTGTAATACAATGCAATCATCTTTCATTTAAAACACATCAGTCTTTTGTTGCCTTTCACACATTCACACCTCTGTTCAATTTACACCAAAGTAAATAACAACTTTTTATGGTGCAAACGATATCACTTGAAGTAGGATTATTTAGAATAGAAGCAATTAATTAGTGATTATTTTGCTCTTTTACTAGTAAATACAAAGTAACAAAAGATTTGAATAAGGATATTTTAGGGTAAAGAGTTATTGAGTCTGTTTATCTCAATTTAATTTTTACTTAAAGTCTTTGGTGCTTTTTTATGATGAATACTACGTTAACATTTGAAGGAATATTGCCCGCAAATTATCTATAGATTTGATAACTTACTTTTTCACAAAAGTAAAATAATGTAATTTACAGCTTTATTTTATGAGAAAAATTGATGCTTTTTTTTTATCAAAACCAAAAGTACTGTCTAGTACCACTTTTTAAGACAGTAATGCAGTACCAGTAGTATGAAAATTTTGTAAGAGTAATTCAGTAGCAGTACTTGCAAAATCGCTGCTGTACATAATGCAGTACCAGTAATGCAGCTCTGATCATCATTAATGAATGTGTATTGTGACATTAAATAGCGGTATTTACATTCACCTAACACTAACCCATCAGCCTAATTTGATCACATAATAACGTTACTTGGAAAACATAAATTTCTATTGACAATACCATTTCGTTGGAAGTTTTATGTACAAATAGCATGCATATATTATTTATAACTTCTTGATACTTCAAAGTTATTACAAAGTATGTTTTATAAAAGTATATAAAAAGGGGAAAATCAGAAGAAAAGATTATGGTCAAACTTAATTGCAGTACAATATTCATGTATATGATTTTCTGTGACCTTTTACATAGACAATAACTTTATACTTGTAATTGTAGGTTGTTATTTATCAATTTTATTTTAACAGCTGACAGAAAAGGACATCCCAGGAGCAACATTAAGCACTGTACCAGAGAAATGCAGAGTGACAGACCTGAGGGTGTGGTTAAAGTGCCGAGGTCAAAAAGTCAAATCTAAAGAGAACAAGGCTGAACTTTGTGTCAGAATTGTGAAGTAGTTGCTTACAATTTTTAACTAACTACATGTGTATATTAATGTCACTGTAAACATATTCATGTATAATTATGTAGGAATATGTTTTACACTACAGTCTGTATAGAATATTACTTGTACTGTGAAGCTGTATGGATGTAAATCAAAGCTGAAGGACATTTATTTGTAGATCTAGATCTGTACAGGCTGCACTGGGCTGGTGCAGTTTTGCTTGTTTTATTTTAATTGCTTTATTTTTATGCACAAGTCTTTTTGATATATTTAGTTTAAAGTTACTTATGCTAAAGTCAGGGATGACATGATATACATGTACCTCTAAGATCTAAAAGTTAATGAAATGAATTGTTGATTTGAATGTTAATTTTTAAAAATTTATTTTGTCTTTGATGATTCATACTAGGGCTCGGTATAATTATGGATATGATATTTGTAAAGTTAAAAGGTGACCGATATTTGCTATATCATATGATATATTACGTTACTATAAATTAAGTTCATTATATTGTGATCCCTATCTGAAATATGACTTTGTTTATTTTTAGGGTGAAGAAGTGCGTAGAAACAGGTGCTGTTTTTGACATCACTGATCCTTATCCTGGACAGCCGTATCTTGAGAAAAAGAAATCTGCCTGCCCAAACTGCCAAACAAAAACAAGACAACAAAACTCCAAAGAAACTGAAACTGAGACTGTAAATTGGACGAAAGATGCAAAGTGCCTGCCAGAGACATTTAACTATGTGAACATTTTGGACTACTCAAAACTGTCAGGAAAGAAGACAAAAGACATTGTTGAAAAACCCATTAATCGAGGATACACTTTATTTTTTGATGGATATGTTCATGATGTCTCTACTTTGTTTTCAAACCTTTAAAATTTAAAATTATTGGGAAAATGTAAAATTTTTCAAAATCTATGAAGAAAAATGAACCCAAACCCCAAAGACAAAATAGGGGGTGACTTAGAAAACCCAAAGGGCCCCTGTGAAAAGTTTGGGAAAATGTTCCCTTTTGGGGTTGCAGGGTGCTAGTGGGGGTTTTTTCCCAAACATTTTGTTTTGCCCTGCTTACACCATTTTACCACTCAGTGAAGATAAAAATTTTAAAAGAATTTAGTTTTAAATTTTAAAACCCTGCAAAATGAAATGCCTTCACAATGGAAACCCAAAGCCCCAGAAGAGAAGGAAATCCGGGCCGGAAATTTTTTATTTTTGGGTGCAAAATGTGGTTAAAAACCCAAATTTTGGAAAAAACTTTTTTTTGGTTTTTAAAGAACCCCTTTTTTTAAGACACGCGGTTTTGAAAGAAGTAGGAATGGTAATGAAAGTGAAAAGGAGCAAATGGATAAACTGAAAAAGAGGGTTTAATCCTTTGATAAGTGACTGTGGGCCCAAGATAAACCCGCTGTTGAGAAAAAACGCCCTTATGGTAGACACCAGATTGGAGAAATTTAAGCACGGCCCAGTTGGGGTCTGTTGCTATCTTTATCAGCTTTAGTAAAACAAGAAGGAGACTTTGGTTGTTAACTTTGAAAACCCTTGAATGTAAAAACCCGAAACAATTGTTAATGATGAAAAGGCACACAAATTTCCCCCTTTTTAAATTAGAATGACAATTTCCCAGATAGTGTTTGGGCTATACCCCATAAATTGGAGAGACCTTTAATTTAGAAAAATGTACAGAACAGAAAAATGGCATAACAGGGGTTGAGCAAAGGATACAAAAGAGAACAAGCACAAGTCCAGAAGCATGGTTTCAAGCAAGAAAATATCGATTAACAGCAAGTAAGTTTTGGGCGTATACTTTCAAGAAGAAGGACAAAGACACATTCATCAAAGATTATTTGTTTACACCAAAGAATCTGTCACATGTTCCTGCAGTTCTGTATGGAATTCACAACGAGGAGGTTGCGGTAAAGAAGTACCTCAACTATATGACAAAAAAGCAACATGAGAACAGCAGTATACAAATCTGGTGTTGTCGTGAATACTGCATTACCATGGTTGGCTGCATCCCCTGACAGACTGGTATATAACAATGATGTAGGTTTTGGACTGTTGGAGGTAAAATGTGCTTATTCAAAGAAGAGTGTGACCCCAAAAGACGCTTGTTGTGATCCTGGATTCTTTTGCACATTGAAGGACGGCCTGTTTTCCTTAAAAATAGAGCATGACTACTTTGCCCAAGTTCAAGGCCAGCTAGGAATTTGTGGAGCCAGTTATTGTGACTTTATTGTTTACACCAACAAAGGCCTCGGAGTGCACAGAATACTCTATGATGAAATGTTTTTTTTTAGATATGGTTAGGAAATTGAAAGATTTCTTTTTGGACCATTTTCTATCAGTTGCCAAAACACAAATTTTGCTAGATAATAATAATAATGTGTCCTCTTAAAATCTCTACATGACTGTATATGGAAAACAAAACCTTTTATGGTAGACATTATAATCAAATAGTTTCCAGTGCCATAACTAAAAAAATAGTTAGTTTGCAGTTGCTCGACTGACTCAATGCAATTGGTCCACTTAAAAAAAAGTTGGACTAAATTTTTTATCAAAACATAACCATATGCTTGTTTAAATCTTCACTAAGATATAAGAAGAACAAAATCCCGGCCAACCGACTCACTGTTAAAAAGGTGGGTCGCGCAAATGCAAACCAATTATTTTTTAGTGATGCCCCAGTTGTGATATAATTCACCAAATGCAATATTGACATCAGCTATTGCCTCGATCGCAATAACTATTAAACACTTTATAAGATGACAGTGCTAGACATTTATACAATTTGTTTATTTTTTATTAATAGTTCTATTGATTGAAATACAGTGTAGGTGTTGATGGGTAGTTGCTATCACATGAAACAAAATATTCAATTAATGTCAGTTTCCAAGATATATGTGTAATATATGTTCTGATTGTTCTTAAACACAGGTTGTGTTTTTTTCAGGGTTGGCAAAATGCCTGCAAATACAATGTATGAGTATTTTCCATGCCGGCGGTATTTACCGGCAAATACTGGTCGATTGAATTGACCACGGTCTGGAATATATAGAGGATATAAGTTTTTTCTATGAATACATGATTTATTTTCATCGAGTGGTATGAAAATTAATATTTCATGAGTGGCGGTAGCCACAAGTGAAATATAGTAATTTTCATGCCACAAGATGAAAATAAATCATGTATTTATAGAATAAACTTGAATTTTCTGCTTATTATATACATTTTTCTCTATTTTGACATTAAAATTTGAAAGGCTTTCTTTAAATTTTGTGTACTGGCAGAATTTAACAGAAAGTACGGAAAATATGTTTGACTGCAGTGAAAAATAAATTTTTATAGTGAAAATACGGAAAATGAAAATACGCATTTTATTTCATCATTATTTCTCAGTATTTCATTATAAGTATATTATAAATACAACATTCCCTATTAAATAATCTTCATTCATATGGATAATTTCAAGTTTACCCATCAATTGCCATTTTATTTATACTTAAGTATTACACTTTTATCCCTTTTTTCATAGTAGCTTGGTAATAGTATGGAGTGCACTTATAGGAATGGTGATGACAATGGAATTTCTGTCTGTTATAAATTAAACTCAAGAATGAAGCCATGCAGATGACACTGTAGCTCATGTCATACCAATATACAACCACTTGCTTGCACCTAGGCAAATTGTCTAGGTAATTTATGACACTTTACTGTTGTCTTTGTTAATTTCTCACCTGCTGTATTTTAGGTTCTTAGTAAAAAAAGACAGTTATTTAAAAATTATTTTTACCATATGTGCTTATAATGATCACCTGATATGATATTTAAATAAAATGTCTGAGTTATTGAATTATTATTATGATTATACATTAATAACTGTCAACTAAATTGAGATTTCTGTAGTATTTTAAGGCAAAAAAACTCATCTTTGTAGTATTTGCCATTATTTTCCTCTTTTGGGAGTATTTTCCAGGCCGGTAAATACCCTGGTTTATTTATGTGCTATCTCACAATGACTTACTTCCAAAGGTGCTTTACTTTTTAAGTAAATGTGTGATTTTTTTAGAGTGTGAGTACAATACAATACTTTGCTTCTATACATGTAAATATGTGCTTTCTATACATGTAAATATGTGCTTTTTTAAGGGAAGGAGTCTGGTAGACTATATTGACCATGTGAAACTAGCCTAACTGACTTCTGTTGTGTATTTTTTTTTATTACATTGTTGTTCATACTTTATAAAGGTTTCAATTAGATATGGGACACAATGTATTGACTTTCTTTATGTATAAACTTTTTCTGCCCAAAGTCATCATAACTACAGAGTTTTTTGTGTAAATATTGAAATTTTGTTTGTTTTTTTAAATAAAAGAAAATGAATTCACAAAATCTTGTTTTATATGTTATTTATTGACATGCTTATACCCAACTAAAATGTATTTAACACAAACAAGTGGTATGACAAGCGTATTGTTCAATAGATCAGTTTAGTTTCCAGTTAAACTTGAAATGAGCCGTGTCATGACAAAACCAACATAATGGGTTTGCGACCAGCATGGATCCAGACCAGCCTGCGCATCCGCACAGTCTGATCATGGTCCATGCTGTTGGCTATCCGTTTCTTTACTTGTTATAGGGTCTGTAAGCGAACAGCATGGATCCTGATCAGTCTGCGCGGATGCGAAGGCTGGTCTGGATCCATGCTGGTCGCAAACCATTATGTTTGGTTTTTGTCGTTGACACGGCTCAAATATAGAAAACAGTTTGCACATAACATCACAGCATTGAGTCAAATAAGTAGAAACAACAAAATACTGTTTATTTCTTTCAATGAAGGACTTACAAGTGTCATATTAAA